GCTTGGGTCAAGCAAAATACACTTGCTTCTATTCCATAAGTCTTTGGTGGCCCATTGCTTGTTGTATAGCACACTGGCTATTCTAACATAATCACTAGAAACCCGCGATTTATGGTGCACCACTTCATAGCAATCCCTCTGGTTGGCTTCCATGTTGTCACACTTTATCAGCACAATACCAGGGCTATTAAGTGAAGCAACAACATAACACCAAGTATACACATAAACTTATTAAAATTTACAATTAAAACAAAAAATTTCAAAAGGAATGCACAAAAAAGACTTTTCACTCAATTACACGTTTCTGAATTACCTAAGTGGATCCTTCAGGTCCTTCCAGCGCTTTACAAACTGCAGCAGACGTGCCTTGACCGTTGTATGGCGTCGAGTGTTTGACACATTGGTGAACATGGCTGACAAGGCTGCCTCTGTAGGTTTCACCACCCTCTTATCCGCAGTTCTGCCCCCCTTCCCAGTGGACTCATCTTCCTCATCAGATGAAGATGAATTTGCCAAACTACACCGAGCATCAACCAACACAGTAGTTCCCCTCGTCCCAACCAAGCCCACAACTATTTCAGGTCCAGGCACCATGTTCTCATCTTCCGCTTCAGAATCAGAACATCAGCCACGAAACTCTAAGATAACACCTTCATCAACCCCATTCACCTTGGATTCATCCCCAAACACCTTCACATCACCCCAGCCTCTACAAACAGTGGATCAACCGAAATCTTTTGAACCACACGGTCCAGGTCATCTTCACCTGAAATTATAGCAGCATGGCCAATTTCTTCCCCACCAAGTCCTTTCCCACCTTCTTCCAGTTGTTCCTTCTCCAACAAACAACTTCCCAAAGCCTGATCTTCATGCACAAGAACTTCCCTCTCCATTGGCTTTCCCCTAATCACTCTCTGGGCATTAGCTACGTCAACACACTGTGACATCAACTGATGCATTGATTTCATAACGTCACCTAATTTCAAGTCAATCATAGACATCAACTTTGGAGTAATTCTATCCAACACCTTCAGGAAAACATAAATACAAAACAAACTATTAACAACTAGCATAGGACAAATCACTTATTTTATAAAATACAAAGCTACATCTAAAACTATCATTGACAAACTATTAGAGGTCTATTAATCCTGGTTGCATTAGTGTATATGAAATGAAAGTCGATGAATGCTCAATTGCACGTCTAGCATAGGATATTGTTAAATTTGCCCAAAGTAGGATATGTTTGAGTCAAATTGCGGTCCCTTGTGCCCTTAATGTGCCTCCTCTCCTCCCCGAAATGAAACTCTATTAAGGAATTAGCTCTAGTTGTATTATGTGTAATAAGTGGCATAATAAGCCACACGTTTCGAATAAAGAAAGAGTCGCTCACAGTTAAAAGAGGCGAGGGCAATAATGTATAAAAAAAACAAAAAAAAAAAAAAATAGAAAAGAAGGGAGAACAAAAAAAAAAACTCCCCCAAAAATTCTCAAAATTTTGATTTTCTTTTCTTTAGAGGTCAACTTGTGGATGCCTCCCACACATTGTCGAAAATTTTGTTTATTGTTTCTTGTGAAATTCCCGAGTTAGAGTGTAATTAAGGGGCCTTGGGTGTGCATTTTGGGAGGTGGACTAGCATTTTGAGATTTTATAACCGAAAGAGGGCTCATTACAACTTTGGAATATCTAGGTGTGCTCTAATGAACTAGTAAAAGGCCAAAGGAAGTATCCTAGTGCAACCTTGTATAGTTCTCCTCTCTACCCCCAACTCATGTGTACATTTGTATGATCGGTAATTCTTGAAAGTCGTTCACTTGTCTTGCTTGTGTCTCATATCCCGATGAGTTGACTTGGGCGAAAAATTGAACTTGTGCGATTTTTGGCGATGTGTTGTGGACTGCGTGAGTTGTGGGGCAAACTCATTGGAAACCCTCATGAGATAAAAACTCGTCCTCTAAGGTGGCTTAGAGGTTTAAATTGCTTCTCACTTGTACTAAAAGTGATGATGGTTGTCACCATGCGGATTTGTTTATGTATGCTTCCCCCTTGTTGCCTCTCCTTGGATTGATGATTAGAAAATTGTTTTCCTCCTTTGGTTTGACATGTTTGTTTTGCTCGAGGACGAGCAAAAGCTTAGCTTGGAGGGATTTGATAACTTGCTATTTGATATGATTTTAGGGTGTTTTGAACCTAGTTTACTTGATAAAAATTGCGTTTTGGTTCATTTTTACTCTATTATTATGCAATTTTTGTGTATCCTATGCTTCACGGGTTGTTGGTGTTTTTGTTGAGATTCTAGGTTCAAAAGAACGACCAAATGGAGCCCATGGATACAAAGCCGAGGTTAGAAGCAAGAAGATGGTTGAAAGAAGCCAAGGAAAGGAGCAATATAGAAGAAAAGATGAAAAAAAGGGCTTAGAAGACCCTGCACGGCCGTGCTAAACCTTGCACGTCCGTGCAGGAGGTTCCAGAAAGTTTCAGCAAGCTGCTAAGGCCTGCACGGCCGTGCTTAATCTGGCACGTCCGTGCAGAAGAGGTTGCACGGCCGTGCCAGACCTTGCACGTCCGTGCAGGAGTGCTCCAGAAACTTAGAACATTCTGCCAAGGCCTGCACGGACGTGCCAAATTAAGCACGTCCGTGCAGATGTAGCTGCACGTCCGTGTCAATATCTACACGTCCGTGCGGAGCTGCTCGATTCTTAGCAGTACGTTCTGCCTCAATTCTGCCCCCTCTGCACGTCCGTGCTGAATCTGGCACGACCGTGCTTATGCTTGCACGTCCGTGCCGAATCTGGCACGTCCGTGCAGACCTGCAGTCGAACTCCTTCCTTGTTTTCTCCGTCCTTTTTATTTGGGGGTCATATAAATACCCCTTTAGAGCTCATTTGATAGGGGGCAGTTTTTTTTAGAGCTTTCCTCTTAGTTTGTAGTCTTAGAACATTTAATTCTCAAATCATTAGTTAGTTCTCAATTATTAGCTTGGAAACATTCAAATTCAATCATTGTGGAAGACAAAATCCACCATTGTTGCTCACTTTGAAGCTTCATAGTAACCATTTCTTACTCATCTTTTCTACTTCTCTTTACTTTGTTGTTAATTATTTGCTAGTTCTTGCATGTTTTGGATTGTTAATTAGCTTAATCCTTAGTTTGAATTTGTTCATGAATTGCTTGAAATCTTTAATTGCTTTAACCCCCATGGATTGTGAGTAGTCTAAATTCTAGGGTTTGGGCAAAACCCTCAATGTAGTCACTAATTACTTGTTGCATGTGCTAATTTGGTTGTTGTGGGATGTTAATTAGTTGAGCTTAAGTGGTTTAATTGCTTAGTTCTTGTATATGGCCATTGCTAGAACTATTTATCCAAGCTTTCTCAACGAAGGATCGAGAGATGAACTTGAGTTAGCTCCCTTATGCTTGATTGACCCGAAATGCCATGAGAATAGGGATTACCGGTCAAGGGAATGTTTATGTCATCGTGATTATGCTTTAACACTTGTTTTATGCTATGTAACCACGAGAGTAGGTTGTATTCATGATTCAAGTAATCCCTCTAGCTTGAGAGAGTAGTTGGGTGCTTTAGATGACTTCCCCTAATTTATCCCATCATTTTACCTTGATTGTTGCATGCTAATTGTGATTTGTGATGAAGTTGAGTGGTATAACCCAAGCCCTAGATTCCTCTTAATATTGTTAATCTCCTCTTAGCTTTAGTTGAATTGAATTAGAAGAAGTTACTCAAAACCAACCCAATTTAGAATTCATTTAGCTTATTTAAACGGTAGTACTCGGTGGTTGATTCAACGCCTCTCTTAGGTTCGACCCTTTCTTACCCTTACTATTGTTAGTGAGACCAAGATAGGAATTATTATCTTTGGTAGGCTCGACGACGGCCTATCAAATTTTGGCGCCATTGCCGGGGAGGCAAAGTCACATTGAATGTATTATTGTTGAATGAGACTAGATGTGTGTATATGTATAGTAGTTTTCTTACCTTAATTTTTGTTTATGTGTGTTTAACTTGCGATAGTCATTGCTAATGTTTTTCTTAGCTTTGTTTGACTTTGCATGACACGAAAGAGTAAGCAATCACCGCTTATTCCCGTTGATCCAGAACTAAATAGGACTTTGAGAAACGTGAGGAGACTCTTGCAAGGCACACCCGAGTTTTCCATTGTATATTCGGATTCCGATCCGGAAGAGGTTTTTGGAGCTAACAAAGAAGATAACATGGGAGAGAATCCTCCTCAACCATTGTTAAGAGACTATGACCACCCCAACGCATTCCAACTTCGGAGTGGCATACGTCTTCCCACCACAAATGCAAACAACTTTGAACTTTCACCTCAACTCATCCGTATGATTCAAAGCGATCAATTCGGAGGTAGTCCTCATGAGTGTCATTTTGCTCATTTGGACAACTTTCTTGCATCACTACTACATTTTTGATCTATTGCAACCCCTAAATCCGTTGCATTAGGCGTCAAAATCCGTGGCATTAGGCCTAATGCAACGACCATGTACCGTGGCATCTGCTGACGTTGCAGTAGGTCTAATGCAACGACTTATGACACCTAATGCCACGACACCACTGATCCGTGGCAATAGACCAATACCTGTTGCAACGGCATAACTTATCCGTGGCAATAGAGTACTGACTAATAATTATGATGAAATTGAACCTATTGCAACGGCATAACTTATCCGTGGCAATAGAGTACTGACTAATAATTATGATGAAATTGAACCTATTGCAACGGATGAAGCTAATTAATACAATGGTAGGAGTACGTATCTACTGCAACGGATTGATCATTGGGTTTCTTTTTTTTTTTGTTGGGTGAATGGTAATATAATATTAATTAGCCGGTACAAATCTAAATATACTAACATAAACAAATTAAAGTATCATTTATATAAAATAATTATAATGCAAAATACGTACATTACAAAATATTACTTGCCTATTTTTGGTATGACATACGTACCGTACTAATAATAAATAAAAGTTAGATAATTAATTTGATCGTCCAAAATACAAATTGTCAACATATATATAAGCCGAAATATCCAAATCTTCACAAAGCCGGAATTTGAATAAGAATCGCCAACATATATGCACCATTTGTTAGATGGCTAGTCACTATACTTCCGCTCCATTTGACTCCCCATTCACCTACACGTAAAATTGAAAAAAATAAAAGAAATATAATTAAACTAAATTATAAATTATAATAGACCTCTGGGCATCTCGCCGCCTCTTTGCAACGAAAGAAGCTGAGAAGGATGTGGTTGATTCTGTTAAAAAACTCGGTAGCAAGGTTTCTGCCCCTAAGGAAAACATTGAGATATACCCTGACCCTTCTGGTGATCCCACCAAGGTAACTTCATTTCTTAAATTATCGATTAATAAATTGAAGATAACAAGACCTTAGTTGTTACACTCGACTACTCACTATCTGCATTTTACTTGATATCAACAATTAGACATTATCAGTCATAAATTGCTCATATAAGGTAGAAAATGACACGATACAATATAATTTAACTTATGGTAGAAGATTGAAGCATGATTTTCTAGTTGTTAATTGAAACTTGACAGTGTTTGTTTTTCATGTTACAGTTCTTTCAAAAGGATGACTCCTACCAAAGGGATTTATACCAGATTGCATTATTCCTAGCACTTATTTACTTTGTTGTACAGTACTTGAAGAACACTTTGTAAAATTTACATGCTCGAATCGTTTATACTTTCATAACTTTGTAATTTGTATGTCTTTTTTACAGACCCTGGCATGCTATAAAAAAGGTGGAGCTGTTTCAAGTATTAAGTTTCTTCAAACATGCGTAACCTTTCTCAAAAAGGTGGAAATAGGAAAAAGTTGAAGGTTAGGAATCGGATGATGAAAACAGAAAGTATGAGTAGTAACTCAAGAATCTTGTCCTTATTGATTGATAATTTAGAAATGCAGCAGGCTATAAAAAGACATCAACAGCAGCAACATTTCAACAGTAGGTTTCCAGGTCACCAGCAAACAAAAAAAAGCTAGAGAGAAGCAATAGAAAATATTTTATGTTACCTGATTAATTGTGGCACCAGATTTAGAAGATTGCCCATTTTGGTCAACAAGAAGATGTGGCGCACTAGATGCATCCTTTGGAGCCGATGTAATTGCAAAATCAGGAATAACAAGATTGATCCCAGGGTTAGCATCAATTGTAATAAGCAAGGACTATCAAAGTTATATTCATACAAATTTATGACCCACTTTACATTAATCTAGTAACAATGAAAAAGAAATGAGATATTAAAAAGAGGCAAGTGTAAATAGTAAGGAAAGTTAAAAAGCCTTAAACTACTAATATTGGGGAGAACCCATATCAAAGTATAATCATTCTTCTAGTATTTTAAGAGCCACCATCAAATAAACAATAAAAATCAAGATAGACTAGAGGTTGGGCAACGAAAAACAAGGAAAACATTAAAGTACTCGAAGGGCAGTTGGATTATGGAGTAAAAACTATAAATTAGTGATGCAATGAAGAAATGATGGTGCTAGCTGTGCATGTCTTGTAGTACTAGACTATTAGAAAGTACATACAACAGTACTAGTAGTAAATAACTGGTGATAAAGCTAGCATGATACACATAAATTACTAATTAAGCTGAATCATTTTTGTTTTAATAAACAAAATTTTGTTTTAATAATAGCTAGCTATGGATATATTTCTACTTTTAAATAATTTACAAGTTCGGAAATTTCTATTTTTTACAACTTCAAACATTAAAAATTATTGTACGGCAAATTTTAAATTTTTGATTTTTTACCAACCCGAAAGAGTTGTACTTCGTATAATGTTTTTAATGACTTTGTTTTACTAACCTTATTATCACTTGCTACAATAAATTAAGTTCAAATAAGAATAAATAAACTCAAGTTTTGATATGGATGGGTTAATTATCTAATAAGTTTAATTTACAGTTACAACAAGTTTTAATAAGCTCCAATAAGTTCATGTGATTGAACTTCATGCATGTGAATAATTAAGATAACACACATGTAAGAAAGACACGAAAGATAAAGGAAATACGAACAAGTATTTTTATTAAAAAAAAGTAAAAAAAAAATAGAAAAAGAGAAGAGGTTGGTATAGGCATGATGGTGTTTGCCATGGTAATACTTTGATTCACACTGAGCCAATGCTGAAATGAATGAAATGAGCCAATTAACCATAAATAAACGTGGTTTCCTGTTAATTGATCCTTGCATTGTTGTTGGTATTTAAGAAAAGATCATGTGCTTCCCACCCTCCATGCAATATATGTTGTCCAACTCTAATACATATAGTTATAATTAATTATAATTAGGATTTACTAATTAAATAATTAGGATGGCAGAGACGTGATAGTTTTCTAAACACAAAAAATACTCATCTAAAGATAGATGACCAAAACATTGCTGTTCAATTGGTTTGGTTGGTTCATTACAGCTACACAAACTCTAACAGAAAAGAATCCCACTTCTAACTAACTAAAAAATGACAAAATTGCAAAATTTATAAGCTTAACAAACTTTCCTGCCAAAATCAGTTTTAATTAAAATCCTCCTGTAACAGTGATGGAGAATGGTAGGGGGATTTATTATTGTAGACTTTGTGGTCATCGTAAGTTCATTGCTTCAATGACGTTTGAGTATTTTAATTTATGTTTCTTTGTTTTTAAAGTAATGGGAGGGCAGGACAAATGTTGGGATGTCCAACTCAGTCACTACTGCAATTCGTGAGAGTGTACGGGGGATGGCTATTGGTAAAACAAAGAGCACGGAGAAAGCAGATCATGCAACTGTTGAACAGGTGGGTACGTTATGGTACTACATAGAGGAGCTGCAATCTCTAGAAGAGCAACTAGAAATGAGTCTTTAAGGGGTTCGTATGAAAAAGGCAAGAAACTCGTTACTTGAGAGTCTAAGTAGCTAGTTAACTTCAGTTTCAGTATGAAAATTAGTTGTCTTAATTTATTTTGAGCAATCTAATAGCATATAGATTATAGATAACCAAGAACTTCATATCAGGGCCAAACAAGAGTGATATATGGTAATAATTACTCGTGCATTCTCTAAATTCTTTTGATTTACATCAGTAGTGACTGATAAATTGTCTAAGACTGTTACAGTGAATTGGTGTCTGAAAACTTGAGTGAGATGTTATTATATGCTTTTTCAGTCTCTCAATCCACCCCCCCCCAAAAAAAAAGAGTACTGCCATGACTGTAATATATATGAGCTCTTGACTTCAATTTTGATGCAATGTATCAGAAAACCACAAGAGACCTTGACATGCGTACTTGAATACCCTGTTGGGGTTGTGCAACAGCAACAACAACCATGCAATTCGGGCATTTACTGAACAATGCATCCTATTGTACTTACAACAGGGTACAACTTACACGAACAACCAGCACCCCGAAACATTCAGTACTTCTAGATCACTAAAGTCTTATATCTTTAAGATAGATGCCAGTAAAAATACAAAGATATGCCACCAAAACTATCAATCAGTCTCCCTATATCAAATCATAACTTGATTCCCACAAGGCAACAACACTTTACTAATTGCCACAAAATGTGCTCCATAATGCTAAATTGGATAAATTATTTTCTCTATCTTTTCAATTAATTCCGATTTTATTTTTGTAGAGAACAAGTATATAATCTAAGTTATACTAAAGTTTTGATATATTGTTACATCGTTGTAGTTTTCGACAGAAATCTATCAAAAGTTTTGATCTTTATTTGAAATCAAAATAGATAAAACCTGGAAATTTAACTGAACTGCACTGATTTGTTTCGCCTTTTTTAATGAATTGAAACGGGATTGTAGAATGTGAGAGTTTGTGATTTAGAAATTTTGATACTGGTATAAATATATTGAAATTTGGCCATTGAATACTTTAATTTTAGGTGGGTTTTTTGAGAAGTTGAATTTGAAAGGGTATAGAGGAGATTTTTCAGTTAGTCAAAGATGTAATTGACTAAAGAGGTTTTAAGAGAATATCTGAGAATGATTGAGTATCTACTACAATATGCTTTTGGTAATCAAAACATGGAAAATTGGAGGAGAGAATTTGAAGAGTTTCATTTGGTTGATGTGGAAAGCTGTTAATTTTCTCACTGGGAAATGGGGTGGCATTGTGAGGAAGAAGACTTTCTTTACATTAACAAGCTATAATTTATCCAACTTGACCCCCTGCCCCTGTAAATCCTGGCTTGCTGGGTATTGTTTGGTTTGCTTAAATTGTAATTGGGTTATTTGATAAATCTGTGTTAAATTGACTGACAATTTCCCAACTTAGCTTAGAGTAAAGAATAATATGATAGCTTCAACACATAATGCTAAGTGCCTGCAAACTTCATAGTCAGGCAAAGTCTATTTGTCTATCAACAATGAATTGTAACACTCAAAGATAACAAAGTATTACTTGATTCAGATAAGCTAACAATAACCTTTGCACTTCTCTACACTCATTAAATGGCCAAACAACCCCCTTCGTTGACCTATTTTTGGCGAATCTGAATTTTTCCAAAGCAACTCAACTTATTATGTTTTTTTTTTCTCAAACTTAACACCATGCAAGAAGCCTCATTCCCCCAAATCAGCCACCCCTAATCATTATATCTTCTTAATATCCATTTATATAACATTCCCCCAAAAAAACCCCATTAGACTACTCCAATACAATCAACATTCAGTACTTCTAGGTTTCAAAAAAAATAAAATAAAAAAATCAATTTTGCTAAAAAAAATCCATTAGCCGTTTAATTCTAAGAGTTACTAGAGCAGAAACTTCATCTTCCATGGCATCAAATACAAATTTCCAAACGCAAAAGCAAAAACTTCAAATTTAATTAACCCAAAACGATAATTCGTTGAATACCTTGAAGAGAATTTCGAGCAATCAGCTCAAGGAAGGGACATGCAAAATGAAATTGAGACCGCTTGTGCCGCCTTCAGCCACCACCGCCGGAGTGCCGCCTTCGTGATTTCTTTGCTTATTTTCCTCTTACAATTTTGGAGTATTTTTTTTTGTGATTTTCGTCTCAAAATTTGAAGTATTTTTGGAGAATTGAAGTTATGAGATCTGAGAAGATGGGGAAAATGGTGAGAAATTGACAATGGGGAAAATGGAGTAAAGGGGGTATTGAAAGCTACTGTATGTACTTCTGTACGTGAGAATTGAGAATAGAGGGAAGCAAATTCTTACACGTGTTGTTCAAAATATTTGGTGAAAAAAATAGAGGGACGAAATGCGCGCTTCATTCTATATTTTCATGATACAACACATGCCGTTGCAATAGCCCTCATTTTTGTTAAAATAGATGGGCTATTGCAACGGTTCTTTACAGCCGTGGCAATAGCTATACCTCTAAGAACATTAGTGTTAAATTTGTGGCAATAGCCTACTCTATTGCAACTGCAATTAGAATACCGTTGCATTAGACTTTATTAGGCCGTTGCATTTGGTCAAAAATGTAGTAGTGTTGAGTTGTGTACAACCATCAAGCAAAACAACATTTCGGAAGAGTTCATCCGTATGCACATGTTTCAATTCTCTCTCCGTGATAAAGAAAAACATTGGTTGAGAATGGTTGAAGAGGGATCATTGAGTACATGGGACGAAGTCACTAGAGCCTTTCTTGGAAAGTATTGTCCTCCGGAAAAGACCGCCGAATTAAGAAGAAAGATCACCAATTTCAATCAAGACATTGATGAAACATTGAGTGAAGCTTGGGAGCGTTTCAAAGATTACACAAGGAAATGCCCCCACCATGGTTTTACATCATGGATCATTGTACAAAGCTTCTATGACGGTCTTACTCCTATTTCAAGGGTCAACCTTGATTCCAAGGCCGGTGGTAGCCTCAAAAAGCTATCGGTGGACGATGCATACAAGATGATTGAAGAAGTGGCCAAGCATTATGCATATGGAGGTGATAGAAGGCAACCTCAAACAAAGAAGGGCGAAATTCATGATCTTAGTGAAATAGATCTTATTGCATCAAAGTTTGATATGCTAGCTCACAAGCTAGATCAAGCCACCCTCACACCCTCAAGCTCTTCCTCGCAAGTCATGTCTTGTGAGACTTGTGGAGGAAATGATCACTTGTCCTCTTATTGCAACTCAACGAATCAAGAGCAAGCGGCGTCAATTGGGCAAAGGAATGAACAATACTCCCAATCCCACAATCAAAGTTGGATGCCCCAACAAAACACGGGATGGAAGCAATACAACCAAGGCCCCCCACAAAATAACTACAACCAAAATCAAACCCAACCTCAAAACCACTACAACCAACCTCAATCTCAAAACCAACAAGCTCCATACCGCCATCCCAACCAAAGGGATCAAAACCACCAAAGATCACAATATAACCAACCCGCTCCTCCTCCTCCACCTCCTCAAAAGACTAGCCTTGAGTCCGTTCTTGAAACTTTCATGACTCAACAAATAAGGAATAATGTGGAGATGAATGCAAACATCCAACAACTCCAAGCACATAATAAGATAATGGAGGGCCAATTGGCTCAAATTGCACAACAAGTTGGAAGTTCATCCTCCAATCCTAGTGGTCACTTTCCAAGCTCAACGGTAGTGAACCCAAAGGAGCAAGCTAAGGCTATCACTTTGAGATCGGGAAGGGGTTATGAGGGCCCGATTATGAGTGAAGAGGAGCCACAAAAGAGAGATGAGGGAGTTGTGGTGAGAAGTGAGGATGATTTTGAAAATGAAGTAGTTGAAGTTGAGAGAAAAGAGCAAAAGAGTGATGAGGGAGCCACAAAGAAAGACGGGGGAGATGAAGAAAGAATAGAAAAGCCCCCTATGAGAGTATATAAGCCCTCCATTCCGTTTCCTCATAGAATTGTAGAGAAGAAGTTGAATGAGAAGTTTTCAAAATTTCTTGAAGTCATGAGAGGACTTCAAGTGAACATCCCCTTTCTTCATGCTATGTCACAAATGCCTACCTATGCAAAATTTTTGAAGGATCTTCTATCAAACAAGAGTAGGCTTGAAGAGAGTGCAACCATCTCCCTTCCTAAGGAGGTGAGTGCAATCATTCAAAACAAGCTTCCCCAAAAGCTTGGTGACCCCGGTAGCTATGCAATACCGGTGAAGATTGGAGATTTGGAAGCTATGGATGCTTTATGTGATCTTGGGGCAAGTGTGAGCTTGATGCCCTATTCTATTGCAAAGACCTTGAAAGTTGGAGACTTGAAACCAACAAGAATGTCCTTACAACTAGCCGACCGCACGGTTAGGCTACCTTTGGGGATTCTTGAAGATGTGCCGGTTCAAGTTGGAAGAGTATTTGTGCCATGTGATTTTGTAGTAATGGAGATGGAAGAAGATTCAAGAGTACCCCTCATTTTGGGGAGACCATTTTTGAACACCGCGAGAGTGGTGATTGATATGAAGGAAGGAAGATTGACTTTGAATGTGGGAGATGAGAAAATTTCATTTTCATTCTCACAAACTTTAAAAAAACCATTGATTGATGAAGTTCATAGAATTGACACACTGGAGAGGGACTTAGAAGAGTTCCGAGAAAGATTGTATGAAAGAGATCCTTTACAAGCTACCTTAACGGGAAGCTTAGTTGAGGAGGGTGAAGAAGCAAAGGGGTATGATCTCTTGCTCAACCAACCTTTGGCCCAAGAGGTGATAAAATTTGAAGTGCTTAACGTGGTAGCAAAAGAGGAGAGGACTACGCCTCCTCCTAAGGTTGAACTTAAACCCCTTCCCCCTCTACTTAAATATGCTTTTCTTGATGATAGTGAGAATTATCCCGTTATTGTCAATGCTAAGCTCGATGACACCTCTCTTGAGAAACTCCTAGTTGTTTTAAGGAAGTATAGAGATGTCATTGGGTACAAAATTGATGACATTAAGGGGATAAGTCCCACCATATGCATGCATAAAATTCTACTTGATGATGATCATGCTTCCTCGATTGAGCACCAAAGAAGGCTCAATCCCAATATGAAGGAAGTGGTAAAAAAGGAAGTTTTAAAACTTCTTGAGGCGGGCATAATCTACCCTATCTCCGATAGTAAGTGGGTTAGCCCGGTTCAAGTTGTGCCTAAAACGGGAGGCATGACCACATAAAAAATGATAAGGGTGAGACCATTTCTACGAGGTCGGTCACCGGGTGGAGGATGTGCATTGATTATCGAAAATTGAATAAATCCACCCGGAAAGACCACTTCCCACTCCCCTTCATTGATCAAATATTGGAAAGACTAGCATCACAGAGTCATTATTGCTTCTTGGATGGATACTCGGGATTCTTTCAAATTCCAATCCACCCCGAGGACCAAGAAAAGACTACATTCACATGTCCTTTTGGCACCTTCGCATATCGAAGAATTCCATTTGGGCTTTGTAATGCACCTTCCACATTTCAAAGGTGTATGATGTCTATTTTTTCCGACATGCTTGAATCATCAATTGAGGTATTCATGGATGACTTTTCTGTTTTTGGTTCATCTTTTGACACTTGTCTTTCAAACTTGATTAAAGTGTTAAAAAGATGTCAAGAGGTGAACTTAGTTTTGAATTGGGAGAAATGTAATTTCATGGTAGAGGAGGGAATTGTTCTTGGTCATGTGATTTCTAGTAGGGGCATTGAGGTAGATCGTGCCAAGATTGAAGTAATTGAGCGCCTCCCACCCCCTACAAATGTGAAGGGGATAAGGAGCTTTCTTGGACATGCGGTTTTTTTACCGCCGGTTCATAAAGGATTTTTCAAAAATCGCAAAGCCGCTCACTCAATTGTTGGTAAAAGATGCCCCTTTTGTGTTTACTAATGATTGTTTGCTAGCATTTGATAGGTTGAAGGAGGCCTTGATTTCGGCTCCTATAATTCAACCCCCTAATTGGGAACTTCCTTTCGAGCTTATGTGTGATGGTTCGGATTTCGCCGTTGGGTCTGTTCTTGGACAAAGGAAGGACAAGAAGCTCCATGCTATCTATTATACTAGCAAAACATTGGATGAGGCACAAAGGAATTACACAACCACGGAAAAGGAGTTTCTAGCCATTGTTCATGCAATTGAGAAGTTTAGGTCCTACTTGTTGGGCTCTAAGGTCATAGTCTTCACCGACCATGCGGCCTTGAAGTACCTCTTGTCTAAGAAGGAACCTAAGCCAAGATTGATACGGTGGGTCTTGCTCTTGCAAGATTATGATATTGAGATTAGAGACAAGAAGGGTGTCGAAAATGTTGTGGCCGATCATCTTTCACGGTTGCCTATCTTTGTAGGTGATCTTGATAACTTGCCAATTGATGATTCATTTCCGGATGATCGACTATTTGCTATCCTTCAAGTACCGGCACCATGGTTTGCGGACATTGCAAACTACTTGTCTTGCTCTATTCTTCCTCCCGACCTCACCTATCAACAAACAAGGAAGTTTCTTCATGATATTCGCCAATACTTTTGGGACGACCCCTTGCTCTTTAAACAAGGTGTTGATGACCTTTTTAGAAGGTGTGTCCCGGATGATGAAATTGAAAGTGTTATCACAATGTGTCACTCATAACCTTGTGGAGGACATATGAGTGCTAACAAAACTTTGGCAAAGATCTTACAATGTGGTTTCTATTGGCCTTCCATGTTCAAAGATGTGTGGGGTGTAGGGAAAGCTTGCGACCGGTGTCAAAGAACCGGCAATATTTCAAGAAGAAGTGAAATGCCATTGAACAACATTCTTGAGTTGGAGATTTTTGATGTATGGGGTATAGATTTTATGGGGCCTTTCCCAACCTCTTTTGGGAATAAATTCATTCTTGTGGCCGTCGATTACGTGTCAAAGTGGGTAGAAGCGGTTGCATCTCCTACTAATGATGCTAAGGTGGTGGTCAAACTCTTCAAGAAGGTCATTTCTCCGAGGTTTGGGGTGCCACGTGCCGTCATTAGTGATGGAGGTTCGCATTTTGCAAAGCGGTCCTTCCAAGCTCTTCTTCAGAAGTATGGTGTGAGGCACAAGGTGTCATTGGCTTACCACCCTCAAACAAGTGGTCAAGCCGAAATTTCAAACCGGGAGATAAAGGTTATCTTAGAGAAGACGGTGGATAGGTATAGAAAGGATTGGTCTACAAAGCTAGATGATGCTCTATGGGCCTACCGCACCGCATTCAAGACTCCCATTGGCACCACCCCTTACAAGCTAGTATATGGGAAATCATGCCATTTACCGGTAGAACTTGAGCATCGTGCTCATTGGGCTATTAAAACGT